GCCGGTGGCGGGTGCTCATGGAGTACATGTTGTGTCTTATGGCTGAGAGCTGTGGCGGCCGCAGGGCCGCGACTGTAAATCCCTGCGGTCAATAAAAAAAAAACCTGATAAAACCCGTAGGAAGGGCCCGTTCCCTACCAGACGCAGAAAGGAAGGTTTAGTAGGCACGCTACATGGACCGATGGGGCTGAACCACAGGAAAATACCATGTGTTTTGGGAGGGACATGTCTTATTCCTTAAAATAACAGCCCGCTCCGCTTTGCAGGGACCCTGCTCAGGGACTTGGTGCCTGCGCCGGGTGCGTGGGTGGCTCGTACAGGGTCTGTTTTGGGTGGGAGGGTGTCATACTCATGAAATTCCCTGTGTGAAAGACCCCTTAGGGGTTACACAACAAAAAAGCACATCAACAGCTGGTTGATCGCCGGCCAGGTAAGCGCTTCCTCGGGCTCTGAAATAAGATTGTGTCCTGCAAGGACAGCGGTAGCCAAAATAGATACTTAACATGCCTGCCCTGGTGAACTGTCAGTAGTAAGCTTTGGCGTTCCCTCTGAAATTCCTGACTTCGTTTTACATGTCAAAACGTTCAGCTGCGAAACCAAGAGAATGAAGTAATTAAAAAAGCACATTGCCATTTTCGAGTTGCAGCAGGGTTCGGGTTCAGGGAAGACTATTCTTGAGCCCGTTGCGACGATATGCCCTGAACCTCAGCAGTGTTTGGTATAATTATATACATATGCTAATCCCTTGTCCTAATTAATATACACTTGCTAATATTGCAGGCTGTTTTATACAGGGAATTATGCCCGTGCGGAACAGGTCGCTGAAGTAGGGCTTTCCTTTCAGATTCTGAAAGATCTTGAACCCGCACGGTTTGCAGGTGGTGGTCTGAGCAGGCTTGCTTCGCGGCAGCGTAACTTGCCACGCTTGTCTAGCTCTCTTGCCTTGTCCCGAAAACTGGCTCGTGTGTTTTGTTGTGATTTGGTGTTGTGGAGATTTGGAAGGTGTCTGTGTCAAAACCTCCGCTTGCTTCATTGCAAGTGCAGGTTTTGCATTACACCGGGAAAATCAAAGGTGTTAAAAAGCTCCTTGATTATTTTCTTAATGGAATAAAGAGATTAATTGAGGTGTATTAGTTTCATTTTCACGCTCTCAGATGTAGGACAATGTTGTTAGGACGTAATTTTTCCCCACATTGGACTGCACAACAGCTCACCTGGTATTTCAAGCAACTCTTGTGAATTCTAGGTTCTGTTAGATTACACTTTACACTGTGTTCCACGTGACTAATGTTTTTACAGAGAGGGAAAGTAAGGTGATCCCGATGAGTGTAATGGGTTTTGTAGTTTATGGAATAAAGCAAAGGACTTGCAGTCTCTCACTACAGACTTTCTATAAGGCTTTGTAGAAACCTCACCTTATTTCCTTTTCAGATTGGCGATGATGAACAAGGTTACGACCTGGACTTGTTCTGCATACCTAAACATTATGCAGATGATTTGGAAAAAGTCTATATTCCTCATGGGCTCATCATGGACAGGTTTGTTTGACTTCAGACAGTACACTGCTCCGGCTCATTCCATGATGCTGGAGTAAATAATCTTCCAGTGATAGTTTTGCTGCCTGGTGACTGTCTAAATAGATTACATTTAATTAGAGACTAAGAAGTACAAGTGCTAATTAACTGTTTCTTGTTTGGCTTCTAAAAGTTTGTACATTTGCTGTTATGCTATTGTTTGGAAATTTGTCATAATTCTCAAGTGAAATTTTGTAGCACATAGCAATCTACAACTTTCTTTCCAGTGTTATTTTGATGTTTTACCTTCTTAAAGCTTAATTAGAAGACATTTTTTGTTGTGCCAGTTCAGTCTGAAAACAATTATAGTCTCCAGAATTTCCTTAGGATATTAATAAAAATTGTTGATCACATCATCTTAGACTTTCTCATGTTTGTATGGTAGATAAGTAACATCCAACTTTCTCCTGCCTTCTGGGAAAGACGTTAGCCTCTGTAAATATCAACCTGTCACTTCTGTGGTTGCTGAAATCTGTGATGTGCTGTGGCAGTTTTGTCTTGTGTGATCAGAAACGGGTGCATAAGCCTACAAGGCGTTTTTCTATTCCTGTGTGTTTGGTAGTTGCTGATTCCCTTTAAGAGAATGAAATACAAATTCAGTGAAGATGTTGTTGGAGACACACAACCATTTAAGAGTGGTGCTGGGTGGATCTTCCTGGAGATCTTGTGAATAGGAATGCATCTGGATTTTGCGTGGTGTTGTTTGATTAGACATAATAAACATTCCTATAAAATGTTTTTTAAAATACTGTAAAAACTTTGCACTAGAAGTCCATATAGAGGAAAAAATTGGACAAAGTACATGTCATTAAGTAATTGACGTAAAGTTTATAATGGTAGGCTTTCTCTGAGAAACCTGCTGTCAGCTGGCACACGATAAATACATACCATGCTTTCTAAAATAAATTACAAGATAAATTTAGAAACAATGATTGCAGAAAAATGGTGCAGTGTTCTCTTGCTCTGCTTCGTTGGTATTGTGTTTTGCAGTTAGGACAAATTTCTGGCATTCTAGCTTGGCAAATAAACATTAGCTCTTCAATTTACAATTTGGGAATTTTCTTGCTCCTCAGTTAGTGAGGGCTGCTGCCTTTTTGGTTGTGTTAGCTTACATTGCCGAGCCTGTCTTTGGAAAGAGAAAACACACCTTCGTGTCCGGTATCTGGCAGTGAAACAGCTTCAGGGTGTTAAGATTTGCTTTGGCTGTGACGTATGAAAACAAAGGCGTTTGGCAGAGCTACTGTTAGATTAACCTTGAAAAGCAAAACTTTGTTGACCAATAAGGTGTAAAAGCGGTAGGCAAATATTTCTGAACAAAGTGTGTTTGATCCAAGTTTGATGCATGTGTTTGCCACTGTTGTTAGCGATGCAAAATGCTGTTGCTATAGTAAGCAAATGAAATGTTTTATGACAGCTATCTCTTTCTTGGTTTTGTACAGGACGGAGAGACTGGCACGAGAAATTATGAAGGGCATGGGAGGACACCACATTGTAGCACTCTGTGTACTCAAGGGTGGCTATAAATTTTTTGCTGATTTATTAGACTACATCAAAGCACTGAACAGGAACAGTGACAAATCAATCCCTATGACTGTTGACTTCATTAGGTTGAAGAGTTACTGTGTAAGTATCTCTGCAATACTGTGCAGTTTTTATATAAATTTGACTAACTTCAAATTATTAACAGAGATGATTTAATATTGTTACTGCCAGAATGTGCTAATATTAAACAGATAATTAAGGGAATTAAGAGACAAGCTAATTTCCTCTTTCTCTACTTTACTATATCATGTGTTTTCTTTTAGACCTTGATATCTCCACAGCCCAGTAAAATCCTTATGCAGAGCAGAGGGGACCCTTTCCATGTCCTTTACTCGTTCAACAATTTCCTCTTTGCCTACTACCCCATCTCTAAAGCTGTGGCTTTAGAATAATACAGAGGATTCTCCTGCAACTATGGTTACAAAAATTGCATTCTAGGAATTTTTATGTGGCTTAGACGCCATTCGTTGCACAGGAAGACTTAAAAGCTGCAAAAACAGTCATACCTGAGTTCCCTATCTCATCTTATGTTTGGCTCAACCAAACATTGAACAAAATGGGTTGTATTTGGCCTTAAGGAAATACTAGATTTTTAACACCAGGTTTATGATTAGTGGCCACTGAATTTGGTGCTACCTTTTCAAGGTATGGGCATGGGTTGCCTTGCGTTTACATCTTTGGAAAAGAATGTATTTTCTTTCTGAACACAAGGATTTTAACTTCAGAGGGAAATTGAACATGCTGTAACGTGAGGTAACGTGTAAGTTTTATAGAAGGAAGGCTGTGTTGTGCAGGTCAAAGGAGGAGGCAGATGTATGTTAGTACTGTATGCTTCCTGATTCACTGACAGCCTAGTCTTGTGTTCTCAGGATGGTATTTATGATTTGTTCCATAAGACCATCTATGTCATGGAAATAATTACATTTTTTTGTTTCAGTTTAGGATGTTGAAATAAATTGTTTTATAAGGTTATGCTGTTAGTTCTGTCTCAGTATCTTTGCATTCAAGTCAGCAGTATAAGCTACTTGTTGCAGTTGCTGACGAATGCCTATTCCAGTAGGAAAAAATAGAAATCACTAAATTGGGAACTTAAATCTTATCCTTCATTTTATTAAACTGCTAAACCAGGTATTGGCAGACTTAGTTTGGACTGTGGAAGAACTTCATAGATTCATGGTTTCTCTTGAGTGATCTGTTAACATTTCACAGCGAAGCCCAGAACTGCGTGGGGCTTTGGTCAAGTCTGTTTGCAGGACGAGCGGCCCTGGCTGCCCGAGGCGTACACCCGGCTGGCTGTCCAGGGGTTACCTGGAAACCACCTTCACGTCTGCTGAACGCGAGGCAGTAATTTAGCTATGCTCTTTAACGAGAAGGCAAGGCTGGGCAGAAGGATTTGTGCCAGCCTTTGGTTGTATCTCACAAGGCACTCTCTGTGCTTGTGCACCGTATTTAAATCAGGAGGCGAAATCTGCTCGACACCCTTTCCTTCTGCTCCCCCTTCCTCCCCCCCAAAGATTCAGGCTCCTGCTGCTGGTCCACTTAACCACTACGCCACCACATGCCCGTATATTCTGCCTGTAAAAACCACAACAGAAAGCTGAATGTCTCTATTGCAGGATAATATGTTAAGAATAGGAGATGATAACTCCCACCTTCTTTTTTTGTGCGGAAATTGTGTATCTTCTGCTTTCTTCAAGGAACACTTCCAATAACTTGGCTTGTTTGAAAAACAGTATAAAGACTACACCCTTTCAGTCTCTCCACTTTCTGACTAACTTGAAAAAAAAATACTGGAGAAATCATTTGAAACACCTGAAAAAACCCCTCTGTTAAAAAGCAAGACTGCCTTATTATACACATGGGGTTTTTTGCTCATGCTGGTGTGTTAGGCATGCTTTGGTTCATTTTTTTACTACTTTGCTGCTTTTGTTGTTTACTCCTCAGAACTACAGTGCCTTGATATTAATAGGGGAGTGAGCAGCAAAATAAGTTTCGTGAAAATTAAAAGCCTGTTTTTGTAGTAAAAACAAGTAGATGAAGAGAAAAGTGGAGAAATGTAGAAGAGAGCTGACTAAGCAGAATGTTTTCCATGAGGTGTTGGCTTCAGGGTTTTTGGTTTTGTCAGCCAAGTCTATAAAAGAATGTTTTCTTGTTCTAGATGAGTGAGGAGCTCCTGTTACCTGATGCCTCCACTACAGTATTTACGAGCATTTAATTTCTGTGGACTCTCTTAGGTGGTTATTAATATCCAGACTTATGTCCTTTAGATTGCATAACTCGATAGACTGGATAAGATTGTCCTAACACGAACACGTATGTAACAGATTGACTAGGTCTTGCATTATTAATAGTGTCAGAATGCTAAATCTGCTTTGTAGTTTTTATCTGTGCTTTACTAGATGCAGGGATCTGCGCTGTTTGCGCTGTGAAAGCCATCACAAATGGTAATGGACAGTTGAAAGTGGAGCTAGGTCTCTTGTCACTGTCTTTGGATGCGATTACTAGATCATGCTGCCTGCCTTTAGAGACTGGATAAAAGATGTTAAAAATACCCTGGTCACATAAACAAAGCAGCTGAACTTGTGTAATGGTTCTGAAATTGATGTAATTGAGGTTCTATTCTTGTTTCAAACCGATCATTTAATATTGACAAGCATATGGGGTTGTTTTTTTTTTGTATTGCAGTGCAAAGCTCATACTGTTCTGCACCCAAAAATAATTCTCTAAGAATACTGACGTGATCAAGCTGTGATTAAACTTTGCTCGTAACTCTGGCTTTCTGAGTCCTTACAGATGAATTTTAATGATCTGGCAAGCTGTTAAGAAATGGAAAGATAGCGTTTGTGAACAGACCCGGATCTCAGTATTCTTGACAAACAGTTTATTTTGTTTGTGCTACAAGAAGAATGGCTTTTCAGCAGTCTCCTGCATTGAAGCTTGGAAATGAGCAAACGTTGCTTATGTAGTCATGAAGGGCAGCCAAAAGACAATGAATGTGTTGCACTGTCACTCAGGAAAACAGGGATTTTTCAGAGGAGTACATGGTAAACTCTGGTTAGGTTGGTCATGGCAGTATTCTGAAAGATCTCTGTTAACCCAGCCTTATGGCAAATGCTGTAAGGAACTTAAAATGGCTTTTTAAAAGGTGATCTTGGAGTCACTTGGGTCAGGAGTTACAATCTTGTAAAGCATTATTGTTTTCCAGCAGTGACAACAGGGAGGCAGTGAAAACAGATCTAAACAGTAAAACTCTTATGTGTTAAACCACAAAGCATTAAAGTCTTACCAGTACTGAAATCAGAAATAATGCTCCTGAAGATAATTAAAACATTGCTTAATTATTAAACAAAGTTCTTTCCAATGGAAATCTGGTTACAACCAGTGACGGAAATTCTTTAACTGTTTTATATCCTTTAATTGCTCAGGAACTCAGTACCTGCATAGGAATGCAGTTTTATATGCCAGTGAAGATGTATGTTTTCTGTTAAAAAACTGTAGCAATTTGTATGGTTTTTGGTGGGAAGGAGCAGGAAAGTTTATGTAGGTTAGATTGCTTTTTTCTGTGCTGATCATCGTAGTTTAATATGCATAATCCAAAGGTTTACGGTAACCTGCTACAGTTTTTTTGGTGTTCTTGTTTTAGTATGTTGCTTTGTAGCCGAACAGATCATCGAGGACATGATGTTAGGCATATACCGAGAAGTGCCAGTCTGTCACCTGTGCACATAATTTTAATGAACAGATACCTGTAACATCTTTCTCCATTGTTGTTTTGTAAGGAATGATGGTTTTTACATCGTTCCGTGGAAGGAGGATGAAATCTCTATTAATGTAGGAATAGACAAGAGAGAATCCTGTAACATAAACAAGGAAAAGCTTAAAGAAGCTGTCATTTAAGATAATTTTAAGATAGGGTGGACACAGGAAATGTCCTTTAGCTATACAAATACAGTGTTTAACTGAATCACATTTTTGTGGTTGATCTAGCCAGTATCTCAGGCATTCAGTAGCAGTTTATCTATGTGCTGGGTCAAGCAGCAATTATTTTGGACATCTTTGTTTTTGGACTCTTTCAACACAGTGACATTGATGCAGTTTAGTTTAGTTGTTGTTTGCACTGTTACGGAAGCACTGAAACAGCTGACTATCAAAAATGAATGTTCCTTATAGTAATGAAACATGGCACTTCAGTGTAATTTCAGAGTGGTGTAAATCAAACTAATGTCTTCTTTAAAACACATGGAGCAAAACCAAAAAGATATTTTTCCAATAATTTATTTGTTTGGGTTTTTTTTAATGTTGTGTCATAAGAATCTTAAAAGGAAAGTATCTGTTAGTCTTATCATCTGCGTTTAGACGCCCTGAGCTAGACCGTTGACACCACTGTCGGAAGGATTTTAATTTCTCTTTTATCATTCCAGTGTTACTTACTGTATACCTGGTGTGTGCCTCTCGAAATAATTTGCTTCCCCTTTTTTGTGACAACATTTTTTAGTTTTTGCATACAATTCGTATAGCACAAATATCCGTCTTCATGTGGCTGTAAAAACAGGAAGCTGTACGTGGCTCTCTCTCTGTGCCCTTGTGGTCCCCTCTGTTGCATCTGCCATTTCTGGGTTTTGGGAAGGAACTGCTGTTTTGCTGCGTGTCTGCGTAGTTGTGCAGCACACTTGGGCTTCACGGTGCAGCAAAATAATACCAGTTTTCTAAAAGGAAGATAACGTGGTAAAGAGTTACGAGAACAAAGTTTGATAAGCAATATTAACCTTTGACTGAAATGATTAAATTGTAGGACAATACCGCATCTAATGTGAACTGTGAGAGACTGTCGAGGTTTAAAGTCGGTTGAATGACTTTAAATAAACTGCAAAGATCTATGAAGCACTCCTAGCAGCTGTTTTTAACTTTCTTACATAACAGTACATTTCTGCTTATATCGAAGTTCAGTTTTACTGAAGTAAAATGCTGTGTCGTAGTGATGGTATACTTATGTTGCTGTTCAATCACTGTAAGAAGCAATTTGATTGTTATTAATATTTGTTGTAAACTGGGCAAACATAAGCTTTTCTGGCTATTTTTGTAGCTTATATTTCTAAATATTAATCTGTGCCTTGTTTGCTGGCTATTCTTGTTATGATTGCTTATTCTTATTTGAAGAGTAAGGCTTTCTAAAGCATTAAAATTTAAAATGTAAATTGCCAGCTATAGCAGCGTGCAGCTTATAAACTGAAGTGCATTTTGTCTTATGTCCATATCTGTAGGATAGCATAGCAAATCGTGTCTTTTTAGATGCATACGTATATATATGATGGTCATGTGCATGACATCGGTATATATCATGGTGCCTGTGTTTATACAGATACCTTGTCAAACAGTCTTTAATCTGAAATACCATCACTTTGATCGCTTTTAATTTTTTAGTTAATAGAGTTGCTGTTGGTGCTGTGTTTCTGAAAGCATTAACGTTCAGTGGTTATGTACTTTGCAATTTTGATATTTACTGAAAGAAAAAAATATTTCAATTCTGGTAATGCTAATATTCATCCTCCTCCTTCTTAGAATGATCAGTCAACTGGAGATATAAAAGTCATCGGTGGGGATGACCTCTCAACCTTGACTGGAAAGGTATGGCTCTTTGTTTAAAAACAAGAAAACGCCAAAGAACCCCCATACCTGCATTGCTTTAAGGCTGCTCTTTTAGAGTGTAATGATTATAGAGTTTAAAAAAATGGAAACGGCAGAGCTTCATTTCAGTATTCACTACTGCATACGAGGAGAGCGGATAAGCCCCATGAAAGCTGTCGGTTTAGTCTGAACTTAACAAAAAAACCCACTATTCACCATCTTCAGTATCAGCAAAGTTTTAGGAGGTTTGTTTTTCTGCAGTGCCTGGGAAGAATAATCTTGTGGGGGTTGTTGTCTACAAACTACACTGGAGTAGTGATGGGAATTTATACTGTCGAGATGTGTGACGTGCAGCCCAGGTTTGGAACGGAGGTTCCCATTACAGGCAGGGACGGGAGAAGGAAATGAGAGAATGTAAATTTTGAATCTGCTTTTCTCTAGTGACTCTGTGGAGATCACTGAGCCAGATGTCTGAGGTCAAAGCATCAGTGCCTCCTGCTCTGTCAGAACACATTACTTTCTCTTTACACATATGTGATCTTTAAGGCATGTATGTCACAGTTCAATATAAAGGACATAGGTATGGCAGATAGTACGTGTGGCTACAGTATAACCCTCTTTGCTTTAGAAGAACACGAATTGTGTAGACTCTGTTTTGATCTCTTACATTTATCTAGAATTCTCAAAGTCTAAATAATTTAAAGACCACTTTGTACACAGCATGAGACGTTGAGGAGAATCTTGTTGACAGCTAATTGTTATCGGACCATCAGAAATTCGCTGTTACATGTGTAAACATATATGAATGAAGGTACAAATGTGTAACTGCAATGAAAATTAATAAGCTACAGAGATTTATATATGTAAGAAATGGCATATTTTCTAGTTATTAATGGATTTTTCTCTTTTTTTTTCTTTTTTTCTTCCCAACAGAATGTTTTGATCGTAGAAGTAAGTATTATGTTTCACTTTGAAGTTCTAATGTGTGACTGGTGAAAGAGTTCTAATAGAAGTTGTTCTTAGGCCAGAAAACCTACGGTTTCTGGTTTCAAGGCTTTCGGCTTCCGATTCCAGGCCTAAATTTTGCAAGTGGGCTCTGAATTTAAAATGGTCTGTGTTTTGAATTCTCAAATCGCACTCAACTGCCAAATTTAACACAGAAAATATCCATGTAAAATTGTTTGCATTTGCTTTCAGTTTTATGGGATTCTGTCAATTCTAGACTGTCTCTTTTTTTTACTTATTTTAAAAAGTAGCCGAAACAAAGTCATATTAAGTATGTTATTGTTCTGGGTTTATAACAGCAAGCTAGGAAATTAAACTGCAGGAATAAAAAGAGGTTCCTGGTAGGAATATCCTAAAATATGTAAAAAACAGCCCAATACCCCTGTGTATAATTTGCGTAGAGAATAGTGACATAAAGAGCCTTAATTCCTAATTAGCATCTTGCAATTAGTAAATTTGCTATTCCTCTGTCTCGTCACGGTTCTTTGGATGATAGCAGGCACAGTACACCTCAGTTTGGTTTCCTGGTAGGTACTGTTGCTTAATTCTTGCTTTCCTCTTTCTTGATGGACAGTGTTGCTTATGTTCGGTAAGTATCGCTTTGGCAAAGGGTGTTCTTGAGTAAGAGTGCCGATTTCGGGACAGGGGAGCAGCAGCAGTAGTAGAGAGGAAAAATGGACGCGCAATCTAATAATGTCTTAAGGCTCCAAATAATGTAATGGCTTGTTTGTAACCAAAGAAACAGCTATGGCAACTGATTCAGTGGCTAAAGGGAAGGATGTTTCCTCTCATAAAATGTGTTTTTTATGTATGTTTTTTTTTTTTTTTTAACTTGAGGAGGTTATATTGTTCCACAGGAAGCACATTCAGTTCCAAAACTCCTACCAAAATAGTATGTATACAGCAGTTGTCTGTGTCGCCAGTGGTGTCCTTTGAAGTATATTTTGCTTCAGATAGGCAGATGCGTTTAATTATGTATCTGCTCCATTTCAGATGAATGTATGCCTTTAAAGTCCCAGACAGCTAACTAGGTTAGTTTCTCATTTGTTCAGTGAATCATCTATCCGGTGATTTGTCTTATACACTGTCAAATATGAACCCTTTTACTGGTCACCGTTTTAACTGTCAAATAATAAAATGCACATTTATTGTAGTTTTAATGTCACTAGGCTTTTCTATACAGCATCCCTTTAATGTGCATAAAAATCTGAACAAAATGGAGATTCACTCCAATAAACAACAATCACACAATATAAAATCAGTGATAGGTTCTATATTTTATTTTGGAGTATGGAAGTAGCTACTTATGTTTATTCACCAACTTTTATTTTCATCTGTATGTCTTTAACTTTTCTTGAGTTTATAACCATGATTAAAAGTATTAAGTGTTAAAGATGGTATTACTGATGGGTGCTCTGTTGAGGTTTTTTGTTTGATTTTTATTTTAATTGGGAGTCATGGGAAAATAAGCTGAAACCAGAACATTGCTGCTTCTGTGTTATCTACCTCCTTCACTTCAAACAGACTTGATTTCAGGCCAGGGTAAGGACTAACCCTCTAAAGATCGTGTGATTATTTCAGTCCAAATGAGGAGTCCATTTCTGGTGCTTCAGTTGGAAGCCAGATATTCTTTTTTCTGCATGTATGTGCAGTGGATGGGATTAAAATGGTGTGTCAAAATTCATTGTAGTGTGTTGGAGTATAGACTTTAGAACTGCGTGCAGATACTCCCAGTGCAATTTCTTCAGCTGTTTCTTGGATCTGTAATGTAAATTACACTCCTCTTTTTTTTAATTACAATAATGGGTTGTTCTGCCTATGTTCCCTTCTTAACTTTTTTTTTCTGTTGTATATGTCTGTCTCTGTAACTGAGTTCAGCGGAAAGGCTAATGTTATTCTTATCATATTCAAATTAAACATTGTTTGTCTAATAGTTTCAAGGAGCACAAGCCATAAGATCTCCAGAAGGACCCAAAAAGGTCATAGTTCAGTAACTGCTTTCAAAGTCATAGGTATCCACAACAATTAAGAACTATTGTTAACGTGCATGATCACTTTCTTGAGCATAGTTGCATAAGCACAACATGGTGTTACACGTCACCTATATTTGATTACAAACAGTATTTTGGCATATTTTCGTGCTATTTCTGTGGTAGAAACTTGAAAATGACACTCTAACATGATTAACATTCTTTCTTACATGAGGTTTTTTTTTTATTTTCAGGATATAATTGATACTGGTAAAACAATGAAAACGTTGCTGTCTCTACTTAAGCAATACAATCCAAAGATGGTGAAAGTAGCCAGGTAAATTTTTAATGATGATGATTTGTGCTGTATTTCACCTTAGGCATGACATGCTGTGTTTTAAAAAAAAAAAAAAAAGTGTAGAATACATTTCCATGGAAGAGGAACAGGAGGGGACATTTCTGCAGGAGTCATATATGATGCGATTTGTTGGAGTTTAGTATTTCTTTAAACTCCAAAAGCATTTTTGCTTGTTATGAGAACATACGTTCCTTACGGTTGGCAGAAACGGTGTTCTTTCCAATCTTAGTGCTGGAAGAATTTCAGTGCTTTGGAAGGGGATGGCTTGTGCATGTCTTGCCTTACCACATTATGGTAAGATTTGTGGGGTTTTACCAGTGAAGTCCAAGTTAAGTTTAGAAGTATATGGAAGAATTTAAATCTTTTGGGCTTAAAAAAATACCCTGTCAAGTTGGTAGAGGTATTTTCTGCACAAATTTAGTTCAAAAGTGTAAACTTTTACTAGAAAAGGGGATAAAAAAATCAGTGGTTGTCACTTACATATATGTAGTACCTATGGAAACATGTTTGTTTCTGCTTGAGCTATCTGCAATGACAGTACACTGCAGTGGTGTACCTGTGCAGGGGAGACTGTATTTTAGTTTGCCTTCTTTGGTTGTAGAATTAAATTAGTTTGCACACTAACATTATTGTTTGTATAGTGGGCGTAGTGCAGCTGAGCTTTAGAGGTCATTCTGTGAGAGTCACCCAGCCATATGCTCTTCCAGGCTTTTCTACTTAGTTACATCTTTAATCAATTAGTTTCAAAACATTTTATAATTAAGTAACTTAGAACTAACTAGAAATGTTGATGATAATACTATTATTATTAACCAATTTTGGCATTCTTCCTACTTCTTATTAAATGACACCTTTTGCCCTGCTATGCTGTGGTTGTGTATTTTACAATAAAAGCATAAAGATTGCTGGGGATTAAGGATAAAGCAGAGCTGGTGTGATATCTAATCAGTTGTGTTGCCATAACAATGTCAAAGCAGTTGTTAGATGTGCGAGAACAGCTCTTCTTCCTGATAATCTGGAGGTGACCTGCTGAAGGTGAGGTTGTTGAGGATTTCTCCCTGGCCTGATTAAGTGTGCCAAATTTTAACTATTTGTCACTGAACAGTGCCCTAACACTGCAGTGTACATCATGACTATAATATGGTATGAATAAAGTCCAGTTTCCTATTGTTTGAACCTGTTGCAGTAATTTGGGTCTGCGAAAGACCTGAGCAGGTAAACAGGATCTTTCTAGGTAGTCTTAAGTGTAATGTTCTTAGCTCCTTCACTTGCCTCTCTTCTCTCTCTCTCTCTCTCTCTCTTTCTTTTTTTTTTTTTTTTTAATTTTCTATCTCTCTGACAATTGTAGCAGGGAGATGTTAATTAACGCTAACATGATTCTGGGGTTTCCTTGACCAAATCCTACACCAAAAATTAAGTCTCAGTCTAAAGAAGTTTCGTCTAAAATTGAAATTGTGACTCTGACAAATGAAGCCCCACCTTCAGAGGTGATCCAGGAGGGAAGGAGGTCTGTGCTTAATGCACAGAGTTATGCTGACCTCTGTCTTCACATTCAGCCATCGACCCCCTTTTCTTTTCTTCCCAAAGTCTCTGTGTCTCAGACAAATATCAGGCCTGTGGGGTTGTCTTCTAAGAGGTATAGTGCTTAACTGAATAGTTAGTGAATCAAACTAGCAAGGCATTTCTCTCTACTGCAATACCCCCAACTCTCTATCTCCATCCTTTTTACACCTCTGACTATTCATTCTGGAAGAGTGGAGCTGGTTTGACTTGATCATCAGAACCAATTACATTTTCTTTGTGGGGGTTATTAGTACTGCCAGTGAAAAACAGTTGAGGGCGTGTTGTGCAAGTGCAATTGAGGTTGCATTTAACCAGCTGAACTTTTGCTTCGTAATACTAACGCTTTTGAAAAGAGCACAGCTGATCTGGCTGGATCCCGAGCTGTTGCCTCTTTCCCTGTAAGCTAAATTCCGCCTGCGGTTCCTAACACACATAAAACCCCATTAAGTCACTTTTCACAACGAAAATCCATCCAGATCAATATCTCCTAGCCTCTTCCTCACAGACCTGTTAGTTATCCTTTAGGCTGTGAACCATTCTAGGAAGTTTTGATTTTGTCATTATGATCAGCTGCACCTGCAAATAAAATAATAGTTTAAAATATGTGCAGTTACGCTTTCAGTTATGCACATTTGGGCCAAATTCAGCTTGTCTTTCTTCAAAACAGTCTCATGTTTGTACACAGTGCTTTTCCATGTTTCAGTTTTATATTGGTTTTTATTTGACAGTTTGTTGGTAAAAAGAACTCCTCGAAGTGTGGGATATCGGCCAGACTGTAAGTGACTTTTTGACAACCATTATTAATTTTTAAAAGTATGGCAGTGTATTGTGTACCCTTTGATCAAAGTCCAAGGATGTTCCAAATAAGTTTTCACTAATGATTCTTGACAGGTTTTGCTCTTACTTAGAGAATTTTAATATCTTGAATGTATTCTGACAGAGTTAATCTGGATTTTGTCTGATGCTTTTCTTTTCTTTTTGTAACATTTTACTATAAGAAGAGCAAACTTTGATATTTTGGTTCAGGTTATACCTTTTTTTGTTTGCAAATTCTCCCAGCTTGCATGTAGGACAGATGCGTTGGTTAGCAGACTCTGCTGGATTCCCCTTTGACACTGAGGAGTGATTCAGGTGTCTAAACCTAGCCGCCTCACACCATTTGGATGTCCCCAGGGATGTAGAAGGACCACACGAGGCAGCAGGTCTGATAGAAGTTTACAATGATACGATGCCTAAATTGGCACAAAAATGGTTATGTCTGGGCATCTGAATTACTCCCGTTTTGTCTTCTCCTCTCTGTCCCAAGACCATGAAGAAAGGAGTAGCATCCACAGCAGACAGTGGTACCAGAGTGACAGCTCCTCTTGCCTTGGGAAGGGCCGTCTGTTTTAATCCTGTTCCAGAGGCCAAATTTCCTGTTTATGTGGACAATGTACTTTCACTATGGAAATGGAGTGAATTTAGCAACAGAACCCTTTTCCTCCTCCTCCTTTCCAAGGTTGTACAATATTCTGGAACTGGAGTTTTTCAATGCCTTAAAGCTTAATTGCGGTGTTTCCCTCAGTCAAGGATGCCCCTCGTTCCTGAGATCTTATAATAGGCTTAGCTGGGTTAATGGTCTGCCTTTTGAGCATCTTGCAGCAGACGACTTGTTTTGCCATCTGTCCACAGAGACAACCTGTTCAGTGCAGGGGACACAAGCTCCGAAAGAAGAGACAGTAAGGCAGTAATGGCTGGGCCTCTGTTTTATCCCTGTATTGTGAGGCCAAGTAGACACTAAACTTCACCTTGATTTTTCCAGAAGTGCACAGAGCCTTTTCTTTGAGTTGTACAATTGATCTCCCTGTCTTCCTCACACACCCTCATTGTAGCTAGGGAGAGAAAAACCACGCAGCTTTCCTGTGCTCGGGACTCGTTCATTTTAGTACGAGGGGAGAAAGCCATTTGGAAATTTTATATTTTATAGAATTTAATATTTTTTGGTCATTTTGTAGTGTGTGCTGCCAGGTTGGACTGATACTGCCTGACTACCCACAAACTCTCCTGCTAGAGCTGTTTAGACAGTCTGCGGAATAGCTGATGTCTCTTTTTAGGCAGCTTCTCTGAGAGGAAAAAAACACAACCAAACACACACACAAAAAAACCCCAAACACCTGTTTTTGAAACCTGGTGGTGACTCCATAAAGAACAGCGTGCTCTTTGCTCTTCGCTATTCTTTATACCACGGAATCAGCATCTAAGATGTGCTTTACCAGTCACAGCGTATTCCTACACATCAGCTCATTGCCTGCAAGTCGCAAGAGTGGAGTGCGTCTGGGCAGGTACTCCAAGGCGAAGGACTGGTTTCCCTGCAATAACCGTGGTTCTGATATTCGCATTATTCTCTGCTGACTCTCCCGGCCCTTCGCAGAAAGTCCCCTTGGACTTGCGCACCCATAGTTTTGAAGGAGCTGATGACTGAACCTGCCTACTCGTTAGGCCTTTGGGTGTCCTTCGGCGCTCCCGTGCCGGACCAAGGTCCGGCTCCCAGAGGTGCTGCCTCTCGAGTGGTGCTGTGGGGGTGACTTGTGCTGTCCTCACCCGTTCCACCGCTGCTGTGCTGGCACGTCAAGCATCTAGGAAGCACTGGGAAGTATTGGCTCTTTTTGTTTGTATTTACAAAGTTGCAGGAAATTTTCAGGGAATTTTACGTTCTGATAATAATACCGTGTCTGTAGGTTTAAGTGCGTCCATTCATTTCTTGCAGACTGCGTGCTAGCGCCACGCTGCTGCGTGGGAACCGATAAATACAGCTGTTTAATTGTGCTTTAGGTGATGAAATAAATCAACAAAGTAAAAATTTTAAAATAGCTTGAATATTAATCTGAGGGTATTTGAGTGGAAGAAATGGGGTGAGTTAAGATGCACACACATCTATAAAATTCCAGATTGCCTCTGTAAAAATATCCAGTGAACTCTAGGAAGTTCTTTTCTAACATACTGGTGACTTACGGTCTTTTTCAGTTGTTGGATTTGAAGTGCCAGACAAATTTGTTGTGGGATACGCCCTAGATTACAATGAATACTTTAGAGATTTGAACGTAAGTAATTTTTCCCGTATGTTTTTGCCCATTTAAAACTAGGGAGGAGGAAGGAAGGGAAGTCTCCTCACGTCGCTCTCCCTCCTCTGTAAATCATGCTTCGTGTGCAGATCTGTTCCGCTGGTGATGCAACGATGCGAGTGAACCCTAGAGCAGCGGGACAGCGTTTTGGAGCTCTTAGGAAACTAAAATTTATTTTCCTATGTGCAGAACGGAGGCTAGACATTTCCTGTCAACTTGGAAATAATGTGAAGTTTCTTATCTTACCAGATGTCCACAACAAATAAATGCATTTGCATAGTTAATAAGAGAAGACAGAGCTTGGAAGTTAAAAGGGGTTCACTTTTTATTCTAAGTATTCGTTACTTCGGCTGGGTCTCACCAACCTTATATCGGACACTGGGTGGGATAATTAGAGGGGGGAGAAAGAAGGCAGTGTTGAGACTTTTAGACAAAAAATGGCTTAAATTGTTCTGCACGCAGTCTCACAAGATTCTTTCATACTGAAACGTGTATAGCGTGCTGGTATTTTTTTCAGCAGTGCATTATTGAATACATATGTAAAACATTGGTCTCTTGCATTACTTTTCTAAGAGGATCTTTTTCTTTTATTTTGTTGCAGCATATCTGTGTGATCAGCGAGACGGGGAAGCAGAAGTACAAAGCATGAAAGCAGAGCTCAAGTGCGATGGCAACAGAGCTTTGAAATGTTTTGTTTACCGAGTCCTATCTTTCACAGGCTTCAACTCTGGTACACCAGCTAAAATTGTAGAATGCCCCGGCCCCATTGTCATACGCTTGCTATAATTTATTGCATGTACAATATAAGATCTTGTCTTGTTCATTTATATTTTAGAACTGTAAACGACTCGTGCAGTTCTGCACTCCTTATTTTGATTTGCACTATGACTCTACCGACTATTGCTGCCCCTGGTTGGGTTGTGCTGTTTGTGAGCTCCAGAGTCTAACTCTTGCAGTGGTAAATTGCTTAAACCTCATCAACCCAGAACTGAAATAGTTCAAGTACTGTAAATGTAAAACATTTTATGATAGGGAAGTCTATTAGTAATATTTTTAAAATCTGTAATTTAAGTTTTATATTTTAATGCACAGATGTGATTGTGATTAATGGATAGTTGCACCTTTGGGTGTTATAAAGCATGAGGAGCAGCCAGTTACAGTATCTGTAATCTCCAGGGAGCTCATTCAGATCTCCCGGAGTTGCCTTATTGCTGTAAAGGAAGTCTGGGTGAAAAATGTTTAATTTTTTTTTCTTTTTTTTCTTTTTTTTTTTAAAGGAGATGGAATGACAAAACAGAATGTTTAAAATCTAGTTTTAGTTGAGCTGCCTGTTTCTGTTAGATTATTTTTTTTTCTTTAAAAGTATCCATCAGCCAGTGGAGTTGCCTTTTAAATTTAAACGATTTTAATATATTTGTGGAAAAGTATTGTAAAGTTTACTTTATAAGATCTACAAAACAAAGTACTTTAAATAAAGGCTGTCTCTTTAAAATAAGCCCCATACATTTATGCCACTCATTCTGTATATTAAAGTGCTCTTGAAATTTTCTTCTCAGTAATATTTTTCATAAATGTTTCTGACAGTGACGTTTGTTGTCTTTGTAGAGCTTTTGGGTAACATTATCCTATCTACAAGAGAGAGAAAGTGCTGAGGGAAAATACTGAAATACTTGCAAATTCTATAACCGACAGATTTCAGAGAAAATGGTTTAAGCACTGTCCTTTGTTCTGTTTTGGCAAAAATGAAGAGTGGAGATTATATGTTCATTAAACATATACATGTGGAAAAAACCCAAACCACAGCCATTTTGTAAATAATCATTTGAGTTTGTTTCTTGAACACCTCTGTTCTTGTTGAGTTTAATTCTAAACGTGGCAGCCCATCTCACACCTCCTCCTCGGGCCGTGCCCTTCGTTCCCGTAGCTGACGCGGCTTTTGCACCTCTGCCCGTGGGTTCTTCCACTCGGCGCTCCTGTTTAACGCTGCTCAACAAGTAGTGAATGGTTTGGAAGCCTCTTGTGAAAGATTTTTCTGTGGTTTGAACTTTGGGTCATGTTGCTGTTCTTTCCTGAGTACGGCGCATCGTTGTCCATCCATGGCGCGTTCAGTTACAGCTGTAGTAGTTAGTTAGCGGCACGTCTAAAATATTAATAACTTACACGATGCGGTTTAGGTCAAACAACCCCAATGTGTCGGAGCCCTATTTGTCAATCAGAATTCTCATTAACAAATATTAGAACACTGGTCGTGATTATACGATACTTTTGCAATGTTGTAGTTAATGTTCCAAAGAGCTTTTTTTCTCGTTTAAATGCACTACAAAGTCTGATTGTTTTTCTCGGTTTCCTGAATAATATTTGTATGTACACCTCTTCGAGAACCTGGACTGTCCCTGGGACAACTTGTTGCAGAAACACATGATGCGTCTCCGGGAAGAGGAAGTGCAAAAGCAACATGGAAAACTGTAAATCGCTTGAATTATTACATCCCTTCAAGTTTTGACTAATTCTGCTTGAGCTTGGGGTCAAATCTTAAAAAGTAGTGTTTCCTTCAACCTTCTGAATAGTTCCTTCTTCACAATAAATTCACAGCAGTTGGAGGTTACACTAAAGGTGGCCTAAAAGTACCTGTTTACACATGAGAATGGTGAGAATTGATGTTTGGTGTCTTTTAGCGCTAAACCCTTCAATTAGTTTATCCTGTTGGCTAAGGGGGTTATTCAGATGGTGGGATTGGGGAAAGGGGGGAGAGGTTGAGTTGGTCACAACGAGGGGTTTATCATCCAAACCGCGGCTGGCTGGCGTGGGGAAACTGGGAGTAGGGGCTGGGGCTGCCTGGGGTGGTCAGGGAAGAGCTTTGGGCGATGCTGCTGGATCCCAGGTCTGCCGCCTTCTACCAAACCTCGCCTGTGCCTCATGGAAAAGGTCAGTTATTTTTTTAAAAAATATCTTACTAAACGTTCCTACGTTTCGAATGTTGGGGAACAGGCGCTTTATTTGGGTTTTTTTTCCCCACTTCCTTCACCTAGGTGCTTGTCCGATGAACTTTGTGACCCCGGAGGGATCCCTCGTCCAAAAGCTTTCGGTACACGCTGTGAAAATTGTTTGGAGATGGCATTACCCACTCTCTCGCCTTTGCTGGAGCAGTTTACCGTACTGCAGCCTTTGGCAGCGCCTGTGCCTGCACGACGGGAAGATAAATTCTCACTTGAAAAAAAGTTGAAAAATGCAGTCGTTAGCTTTTTATTCAGTAATTTTGGCTAAAAGGTTTTAGTCCTTAGCAAGTTAAATGCCAACTATATGCAACCTGGGCATATATTGTGAGAACACTATGAAAGCGCGGAGACAGCCTTGTATTTGAACACTTACGTGGCATTTGAAATTCATTATAGTGCCCCGTTTTATGAATATATGCTGGAAAAATAACATTGAATGTGTATAGGCTTTAATGCAGCGTCTCACCCTGTGACATCTGCCCTTTCTGTGCGTGGCCATGATTCTCGCGCAGCGTGGCCGCTGCCTGCCACGGTACCGCAGATGTGCAGCTCGGGCTGGCAGCGCCGCTTCTTACTTCAGGTTCACACTGGTCGGAATCTAAAGTGCTCCGGACTGAGCTGGGCGATGGGCTTAAAAGATGGGAACGGAGCTGGCGGCTCACTTGGGGCAGGGGTGTGTGAATCCTGTTTTGAAAACTGAGACAAATGAGGAGCTTTAAGTTGCTTTGTAATTGTATATCGCGACTGGCGGTGGTGGGGCGGTGGCTGATACGCTCTGAAAATCCTGTCAAGCGCGCGCTCATCCAGCGGTGAGGCACTGCTCGCTCGCCGCTCTTTAAATGGATGTTTCTGCCATCTCCCACTGCCACCAGTTCTCACACCTTCCAAGATCAGAGCTCAACTGAGCAGGTATGTTTATAAGCAAATAAGACATCACATTGGGCTTTTTTTTCCCTTTTTTTTAAGTATATAAGGACTTGTAATTCATTTAATTTCACAAGCAGTTGTAGTTTGGTAACTATTTCATGGGGAAGTTTCATGGGGAAATTACTTCCTAGCTCTGCGAATGTGCCAGCACCCACCTGCGGGCACGAAGATGGAGGCGGTAGGGCTGGAAAAGCACGAAGACGGCGCCGGCTGAGGCTTTCCATCCCCAGGGATGCAGAGAAAGGGCCCCTGCCGGCAACGGCCGAGCGAGAAAAGGGGGACACACGCCTGCGCGGCTGCAGCCGTAGGTGTGCGCAGAGCCTCTCCGCGCCGGTGAAACACCAGCTGGGGCGAAGCGGAGGAGCTCGGAAGGTGAAAATCCCTACGGAACTGGGTAGGAGAGGCGGGTCTGTGCCCGCGACTACATCGAGATGCAGGTAAATGCACCCGGGCTTTATCTAACACGTGATTATCAGTGGCAGCTTTATTTTTTACCCCACTATAACCAGCAAGGGAACCAACCCTCGTGTGGCTGCTGCCTGTCCCAGGGTACCCAGAGCAAATCGCGGTGTGGGTTTTGTTTATTTTTTACCCCACTATAACCAGCAAGGGAACCAACCCTCGTGTGGCTGCTGCCTGTCCCAGGTTACCCAGAGCAAATCGCGGTGTGTGTTTAGGCCACAGCTTTGGGCATGGAGGGTGGGGTTTCCCCAGACAGTCTGTGTTTTTCCCCATGGGTGGTGATCCCCCCCTTCACCAACGCAGCCAGGAAAGTTATCCCAAAAATAAAGTCTGTCTGTATGAATAAGGACCTGTCTGTTAAATAAGGATCCATCTGTTAAATAAGGATCCATCTGTTAAATATGGCCCCATCTCTTTCCATCCCCAGTCGCAGCTCGATTGGGGTCCTTACAGCCGGGGACCTCATCCACCCCCAATTCCCAGTGCTGCCATCTCGGGTGTGGTGCTGGGGACACTCCAGCACTGCTTTCGGAAGAGACTTGGACAAAACTCAATTCTCCTACAATCTTTTCCTCCGCGGGGCAGCGAAGTAACCTGATTTATGTCACACATCCCCCCGCCCATCCATTTCGCGTGGCCAAGCGTGCGGATGCCCCGCGTGCATCCCGGGGCCGGGGATGCTGGTGTGGGGCTGCGGCTGCTCCTCCCGGCAGGGTTTGCCACGACCCCGAGGGGTCGGCTGAGCTGTCCTTCAGCCAGGGAGAAAAGCCTTTTTTTTTCCCAGGGAAAAGACTTTCTGGGTACCGACGGAAGGCGCTGCCTTTCCCACACCTTCCGCTGGGTAACCTGCGGAGCCCGGGAAGCACCGGAGCAGCGATGCTGATGCCGATGCCGATATTCCACTTGGCTGTTCCCCATCTGAGGAGCCGGGACAGGATAAAGCCAGCCCCAAGGCAGGGGGAGGAGTGTGTGTGTGTGTACACTTTTAAATGGCCATCGCAATATATTTACCATCTCTTTTTCTCAATTTCCTTCCTTGCCAGTTTTCTCACTTCCATTCCCAAAACGCAAAGTGCCCAAATAGCGATCAGAGGACACAATTATCCAAGGCACAAATATCCTTTGCGGTGTGAAGTCCTGATGCTTGTAATTAGAAAAACTGCCTTGTACTCTCTAGTAAAGAATAATCCCAACAAGCCCTCCCCCCACCATCCCTTAGACATCCCCAGCCCCCCCGCTCCATCACACCCTGCCTGGCACTTGTGCACACTCAATTTCTTTTCAGTATGAGGTGAAATCTATTCTTTCCTCTCACTGAGTGTATGGCATGTGAACACACTCCGCACAGTTTATAAATGACTCTATGCTCTACTCGAATCATATTTTGAGTAACCTTCAATATTCTGTTTCTTGAGCAGCAGACAAGAATGGCTTTATGTGAGAAATTGCTGAGAGCGACGGCTTATCCTTTGCTTCAGAAAGGAAAGGATTTGAAATCGTATTTTTCTTCCACTTGCTGAGTTTGTTGCTGAGATCCACTGAGCCATCGGGATGCCAAGCGCCATCCTTCACAGTGGTCATCGCGCTCCGGCTTCAGCAACCTCTCGCTGGTAGAGAGATTGCTGTCCTTCCTGCAGCTTTCTGTCAGGGGTACCGGTGCCTTTAGGTGAGATCGGAGGAAGAAATTGTTGCCTGTGCGGGTGGTGATCCCCTGGGGCAGGTTGCCCTGAGAAGCTGTGGCTGCCCCATCCCTGGAGGTGTTCAAGGCCAGGTTGGACGGGGCTTGGAGCAACCTGGGCTGGTGGGGGGTGTCCCTGCCCAGGGCAGGGGGTGGACTGGGTGATCTTCAAGGTCCCTTCCAACCCAAACCATTCTGTGATTCCCACTGAACTGGGTGTGTGGTTAGAGACACCACAGCCAGCGTCACCCTCACTAAACCAGACGTAGAAAGTGTTTTCCCTCCCCCTTGGTGCAAAAGAAATAAAAAAGCCAGAACTGAACTTATTAGCGGCTGGCAGCGGGAGCTGCTGTTGTGCACGGCGCTGCGCAGAGGCCGAGGGAAGGCGGCCCTGGCTGGGAGCGCAGCTCGCCTCGGCTGAGGGAAAGCAGA